AACTTTTCATACACCTTACTTTGACTTTTATGCATTTTTCACACTAGATCATTACACAAACCCTTTCCTACCATCACAACCCTTGGAATACTTCATGTTTATGTTGTATTAGTTGTTCATAGTCTCAAACAACAGCTGGAATCTCATCTATTCAAACTGTCCTCAAGATTTGCTTGTTTCTTCAAAAAGAAGTAAGCTTCACAAACTTGCTCAAAAGGAAGGATTTCTTGTTTTCTTGGCTGCTAGCATAGTAAGGACTACAAGAGGTATGTTATTTTGAACTCATTCACTAGTATGCATTATCATGTGTTGTTTCGTGGTTGAGATTGGTTTGTACATTATCATGTTAAAGTTGTTAAGTATGTTGTCAAAAATATGTGAAACCTATACCATGTATGGCTGGCTGTTGGAATGTTACTTTGGTTTAGTTGATGTGTTGCTATTTTTAATATGCCTTTGATGGTATGATAAGAATGAGCACTAGCATTGTTGTGTTGAAATAAACCAAACTGTTTTGAAACTGTCAATAAGAAACGTTTAGGTTAGATGCTTTGATATTGAGCATTGTTATGTTTGAAATTAGATTGGATATGTCTAGCTTATTGTGGTTTGCATCAAGCCTATCATTTGAGTTTTTGATTGAACACTGCTGTTAGAGGTTGCATCCCTCACCTCTGTTAATGACTAGAGTTAGTGACCCCTCATGTAGCTTGCATCTAGCCTTGAATCAATATCAGTTTCTTGGTGCTGGTTTAGTATCTCTAGGCTGTTTGAGTTTGGCCTCATTTGGATTTTGGTTTTCAGACCATATTTCACTACTGCCTAGGCTTGGGCTTGAGATCTGAGTTTCTTAACTGAGTTTGTTAAAACATGAGATAGCACAACACCTTTACATTCGATAGAAATATATAAGGCTTTGTTGTGGTTCCTTCCGTCTAGAGTCAGATCAAAATTTGTGAATCCTAACTCGTTACTGGCATTAACGTTTGCTACGACACCTTCCAGTTGGTTGACAGAAATTTCATGAGGTACATAAGTTGCATTAAAGATTCTCAACAAAGCATTATGATGTGCCTCAGAACAAAGTAATATACATAATTGAAATTTTTGACGGAGTATGATTTAACTGATCTACCACTTTATAATCACTCTTCTTGATTATCCTCATAAATTCTTCCACATCTTTAGAAAAAGCAGCATCGGGCGTCTGATTTTGCTCGTACTCATCAACAACCACTTTCCCTTTATTCTTAGCAGCAACATCATTATTAACATCGGTAGAAGTCTGTGGAGAGAAAACCCGACCACTGCAGATGATTCTTCCACTACCAACGACATTATCAATATCAGTTTCAACAATAGACGGAGTCTCAATTTCTTGCTTTTGACCATTATAAAACACCTCTGCCCCATGATTCCATGGAACGACTTTGGTACTTTAATAAGGCATTGGTCCAAGTCTTATAATAACAACCGGATTTGGCCTTGCCGACGCTGAAATGCAAACAGGAGTATATGGAATGGAAATTGTAGCAACATCTTCATTATCATCAACATCAACAACAGAAGTTCTATCAAATTGAAGTTGGCCTTCATCCATCAACCTTTGAATACCCTCTTTCAACAACACACAACCCTCGGTTGAGCTATACATCTTTGACAATCTTCAAAACAACCAGGAAACAAACAAAGGAAAGAATGACGAATTCAAACATGTTATGCTGAGAGGATTGATTTGAAAAAGCTTAGCAAGAAGTTTGATATGCTCTAAGTTGTGTGAGTGATGCTTGTGAGAGTGAGAGAGACAAGTTTGTGTGAAGAGTGAAATGGGGTAGGGTTACCCTAACAACAATTTTGAAGAGTGGGTATTGGGCCCAATTTTCTATGGCCCACCCAATCTTTCTTCCTTTTTTTAAATGATGTGGCAGCAGACTCAGGAGTGCCTGCCTCGCTTAGTTCGCTTTGCGAACTTCCTGGCGAATGCTCGCTCCAGGTTCGCCTAGCGAACTTCCCATCGAGCATGATAGAATTTTGAAAATTTTTTGGTTCTGCTCAGCACAAACTACCAAAATCACTCTAAAGTTATCTATACTATAAAAATAGTAATAATGCAAGAATACTTACAATGTTGGGGTGCCTCCCAACTAGCGCTTTGTTTAACGTCGTTTGAGCTCGACGGTCCGGAGGTTTGAAACCTCGAAACTAAAAGCGAATGGATTAGCTTCCGAGAAAAACACTCAAAAGCAAATACTTCAATCGTTATCATGACCTATTCTTGGTCCACTTTTCCTTAAGAAAGAAAAGTCACAACACGACTTCATCATTGCCACTTTAGCGTCTTCATCCTTCTTTTTCAGTAATGCAACTTTTGTATCTTCTTTTTTCTCATGAAATCCATCTTCCAAAAGACTTGAACATAGCACTTCTTTGAAAAGTGTGTAACACACTTCTTCCACACTAGTATGCACCTTCATGGTGCCTTCATCAACATCAACCAACAATTTTGCGGTCTTCATAAAGGGCCTCCCAAGGATGATCAGAGTATCCTCGTCTACTTCCATATCCATGACTACAAAATCAACCGGAAATAAAAATCGGTCTACTTTTAGCAAACACATCTTCTACAATGCCATGAGGACGAGTCCTTGACTTGTCTGCAAGTTGCAAAGTCATTCTAGTTGATTTCATTTCCATATTTTCAAGCTTTTTTACCACAGACTACAGAATCAAATTGATGATAGCACCCATGTCGGTCAAAGTTTTGCATTTAAAATCATTACCTATTGTGATAGGTAAAACTACCCTCCTTAAATCACATTCCTTCCGCGGAAGAATGCTTTGAACAACAGCACTACAGTTTTCATTAGGTGCAAGAGTTTCTTTGTTCATATACCTTTTCTTTTTTGTGAGTATGTTCTTCATGAACTTAGCATACTTAGGCATTTGCTCGAGAGTTTCGGAAAATGGAACGGTAATTTGCAATCGGCTAAATATATCTAAAAATATCGCATAATGTCGTTCATTTTCTTTTTTTGTAGGAGCAAGAGGGTATGGTAACTTTTTTTGTATAACTTCTCATTCATTCTCCTTTCTTTTTTTCTTCTTTTTCAACTTCTCCTCTGCATCATTCTTTTCAACTACCTTTTTTTTATCATTTTTTTCAACTTCTTCCTCAACAATTTCTTTTTCTTTTTCAACTACTTCCTCTTCGTCCACAACTTCCTCACCTATGCCCATATCAATCTCCCTACCACTTTGAGTGAATATAGCTTTGCAATACTCCTTAGGATTAGCTTGAGTGTTATCCGAAAACGGCCTATTGGGTTGCTCGGCAAATTGCTTAGACAATTGCCCAATTTGAGTCTCAAGATTCTGAATAGAAGCACCGATGTTCTTTTGGTTAGAAACTGACATTTGCATAAATTAGGTGAATGTGTCTTCAAACTTTGAATTTCCACTTGGAGCTTCTGGATGTTGAGTGTAGTTTTGATATTGTTGTTGACGATTAGAAGTTTCGGCATCTTAAGGCCTCCATTGTTGTTGATAACCTTGATTTCCTCTTTGTTGGGAACCTTGGTTACCTTGTTGGTAAGGTGGTCGAGGTTGACACCCTTGGTATTGATTTCCCGCATAGTTAACCTCTTCCACTACCGGAGGACAATACCCGGTATGGTGATCTCCTTTACAAAGCTCACAACTCGCCACTTGCTTGTTGATGGAAATCTCTTGCATTTCTTTAATGAACAAGTGTCAACTATTGTGTAGACATAGGGTAGATGGACAAACGATTTATCCCATTACAATAAGTTTGCATCAAGGTTCGACCCTAAGTCTCTACCTTTTTTACTTTAACTTTGGGCATACTTGCAAAACATATTTAAGAGTTAACACCGAGATGCATGTTTTTGCAAATGATATAGTCCTACTTGGAGAGTCGAAGGAGAATTTAAATGAGAGGTTGTAGACTTGAAGACATGTTTTAGAAACGTGTGGCTTTCGCCTAAGCATAAGTAAGACGAAGTATATGGAATGTAAGTTTAGCAAAAAGAGAAGTGTTTCTAACCTAAAGGTGAAAGTTAGAGACCATATCATTCACAAGTCGCACGGTTCAAATATCTTGGATCTCTAATACAAAACAATGGATAATTTGAAGGAAACGTAAACCATCGAATTCAAGCGGGGTGGGTGAAATGGAAGGGGGTTTTAGAAATTTTATGTGAGACAGAGGTACTATTTAAGGTGAAAGGTAAATTTTATCAAATTGCAATAACACATTTGATGTTGTACGAGACTGAATGTTGAGCTATTAAGAATCAACACTAGAATAAGGTAAGTGTACCAGAGATGGAGATGTTGTGTTGGATATGTGGCAAGACTAGACATGAAAAAATTAAAAATGACAATATTATATAAACTGATAGGGTAACACCTACAGTAGAAAAGATTGTGGAAAATAAATTTAGATGACTTGTGCATGTAAAGCGGAAACTTGTAAATTATGTGGTAAGGAGAGTATATCAAATGAAAAGGTGTCAAAAGACTTAAAGAAGACCTAAAAAAACTTTAGAGAAATTATTAAAAAAATATCTCAAGATTAACGATTTAGATAAAAGTATGATCCTGAATAAAACATTACGACGGAAGTTAATTTATGTAGCCGACTCCACTTATTAAAATAAGGATTGACTCCCCTTATTAAAATAAGGATTGATTGTTGTTGTTGGTTGATCTAGATCCAAAACAAACTAGACTATTTAAACTTTAAATTTTTTAAAATTCTGAATCCCTTACCACTTACAATCACACATTAGTTAGTTCTAAATACTTGGATAGTCTAAAAAAATGTTGATTATAATACTTTTATCAATTATATAACACTCATATTTTACTAGCTTTTCAACATCAGCAGAATTAGGGAAGATTATGAGTATGAAGAGTTTATAATACTAATAATTTTACCAGTTTTGTATATACACTTCTGTGCAGCAATGAAAAACTTTCTACAAATATCGAATGAGCTCCACTGCAAACTTTCCCTTCTTTGTGGTGTTGACTTCTCCTATCTGAAACCAAAATGAAATATATAAAAGGAACTGGTTTATATCCAAACTCATTCATTCAGATCATCCTTCTTTTAAGCTTTTACAAGTTATTTATTACCTTTAATCTTCCCATTCCACTAACTGATACAAGATCTCCACTCTTGATTGTTGTTCCTTTGGTAGTAATCGGGATCCAGTTGATACGTACATCGCCATTGCTATAATCACAATATGTTTACCACAGTTATCAAAATCTCAAAAATATACCACAGAAATTATATATGAACTGAGGATCTCGAACCTGATCATGTCAACTAGCTTTGAACGTGAAATCTTAAATCCTGCACTAGCTACTGCATCAACTCTTAGTGATGCTTCTATAGTTTTGAATGATTTCGTTCTGCACAATAAGAAAAATTCGTGAGAAGTCTGAATCACACAATTAAGTATTACGTTAACTTGAGATCAGGTTCGATACAATACAACACCTTGGTGGTTCATAATCGAGAGAAATTAATGGTATCTTGGTGCAGGTTACAGGAACATTTCGAACCTAAATATAAGAAAGAAGCATGCGATTAGAACTTAATTAGCAACACTAATACAATTATACAATACTCATTTGTTCTGATAATTAGACGTTTTAACAAGGGAAATTGTAAAAAGAAGCAAGTGAATAGTGTTACCTTATCTAGTGCTGTCATAAGAAATTCAACTAGTTCTGGTACAATGATTATCTGAGCACCCTGTTCTCCCTGGATAGCCAACGCAACAAAGTCGAAGTTTTAAAATATACGATGAGGGATTTTGTGCGTATGCACATTGTGAAAATAATTATATTATTTAACTCTGACGTCGCTACAATTTTGTGCCTATAGTAAATTTTAAGCTAGAAAGTTTGTGCGATAAATGGGGGAAAATATAGAATACCTGCAGTATAATATCTCCAAGTTTCTCCCTAGCAATTCCTGTACCAAGAATTGAACCAAGGAAGTCACCATGAGAGCAAGATTCAAACTGGAAGTTCCCTGTAATGCTGAAAAGAGTAATTTTATGTAAATACTAAGATAGGTATCTATGAGCGTCAATAGTTGCTGCTCTGAGTTTGGCAATTTTGGTGACAAAACTTACAAAACTTACCTCAATGCCGAAATAACATCTGGATCACTTGTCAGTTCATCTGGATGTCCAACAGAAATCCGGCATCGCTCAGCCTAGAGAACGTATATGTTATGTGTCACCATGAGATACAGTGCAAAAACTTTACTGTATCACGGTAATGAAAGGCACTTGTATGATAATTACCTGTGGATAACCTCCTTGCACCAATGCTTTAACGTCCGCTAATTTTTCCAATACTTGCATAGATTCCTTCATCACTGGAGGGGTTAGAAAATTTGTATGGAGAATCTCTCGTTTTAATGATGCTCGTCTAGCCTATAACAATTCAAATGGAATCGACAACAACCAAGTTAGTGATCAGATGATGTTTTATAGCATACAATGATATAATGGCTCAAAGGCCCAGCCAGACCTCAATTTTTGACAAGGTAATGAATATCAGACTTGAACGCGGAGAAGAAACCGAGTTCCAAGCTTGTGACTGTCTAGAATGAAATTCATATTGATTAGGGAAAAACAAGAAAGTACCATCTCAAGAACATGCTTCACTTCATTAGCTACACTTTTGTCCCCAACTCCCTTGAGCAGTACATCAACTTCTCCTTTTGAAGCTTGTACTGCTTTGCTTGCACTTGAATCTGCGCGACACAAAGCAGTGGCATTACCAATATGAATCTGGGTCGTTCTTGAGATGCCGAAATAATGATTTAGCTAAGAAATACATATTTTAATGAACTGCAGCTCAAAAGTAGTCATGAATATATCTTCTCCGCCAACCAGAATACATCTTCGTAAATCATCAACCAGGTGATCAAAGATTAATGCATCAAAATATCTTATCATTCAGGAAAGGGAATGCAGTTATGCACAATCACAAGACTTAAAAGCTATCAAGGCACAAACACTACTACTCGAATATATGTTTCAGTCATAAACATAACCACCAGTACCAGCAAACGATATTAGAGAAAGTAGATATGTATAGAAGAACTTACCAAGGGAACCACATCAATGGACCCTACACCATAATTAAATATGAAACATTAAGACATTAGATTCACGAGTCTTTCCATTTTATATGGCGTTCACTCTATCCAATAGTATCCGACACTGACACACCTTTATTCAGATGTGTCAGTGCTCCAAAGAATTTGATTAATTGATTGGTTAAGCACATTATTTTGCTTTTATTATGATTAAAGATTTACTTAGAAAAGCACAAGCTCTCAACAACACATTTGAGAATCTATTCTTAAGTACCAAAAGCCCTTTCACCATTACTTCACATGTAGCAAAGTTTAAGTTTTCAACTTGATTACAATTTATGAAACCCTTTAGCCTAATTAAACTATATTCATCACCATGTTTGTTGAATTAAATAGTGGACAAAATAAACAATTTCATGGCCTTCGTTTTTCAATACCCACAATTCATTTTATAAAAAGACTACCTTTTTGAACGATTGAGGATAATGGGAATAACAAACAGAATCAACTAATATAGAACGCAAGCAAAAAATAAAAAAGGATGGAGAAAATAGAGACCTGAAGAAGTGGAAAGGGAGAGAAGATGAGGGGTAAGGGTGCTTTGAAAAGAGAGGTTGGCATTGGTGCGGAGATGAGAAAGTGCGAATGCGTGAGTTACTCTTCTTAGACACCCTGCAGTTCCAAAGCTAGTGGTAGCAGCAGCCATGGCGAAAGAGTGATTGCTTCCATATGGATTTGTTGATAATTAGATTAAATATACCTTTCATCCCTCTGAATATTGGGAATTGCAAATTTAGCCTTTGTAAAAAAAAAAATATTTTGCTTTGCTCCCACCAAGATCTAATATCTTTGTTTTTGGTATAATTTCAAATCACTCTTAAAATAAACTCATCCCTATTATTTAAGTCAAAACCTAAAGATGTTTTTTTATAACCAAAAAGTTGTACTGAAGTTCACAAAAAGTTCTTCATTCATTTTTTATAAAATTGCACATAAATGAATGAATCACCTCTATTAAGCTTAATTTTAGGTTGGAGTTACATATTTGAAAGTGTATTTGATATATTTCAGAGATGGATATTCGAAAATGGTCATAATACTTCAAATCAAAAATAGAGATAGTATAAGTAAGATTTAGAAACAAAAATAACTTGACATTAAATTAAAACACTCAACATTATACAGATAGTTGTTAACATAAATTTAACATTACATATCGTTATAAATGGGTGGTTGAGAATATTAAAACATATTGATAATCGTCGGCGGATCTTGTAATCTTCGCATTCACTTAAATCAGACCCTTTGATGTGTAATGCTAAAATGTACTTCACGTGACCTTTAAATCTTCATTTGTCTTTAGTTCAAAATTGGTGAATTGTATTTTCCCTTCGTTGTCAAACGAGCGTGAATAGTACTCGAGCTTGACAACTCTCCGATTTTTTGGATATCGTATGAGAGTATTCAATTTTGATATTAGATCGACGAGAGGTGTGTCATCGGTGACCTTAAATTAAAATTGTGATTTCGTGCCACTGAAATACACACATGCAAGGTGGGGATGTGCATTTATTCTCGGATTGTGGTGTATTTTGTAGAAAATATGGAATGACAGACACCCTATTTATACAAGTTTTGGGTCACATTGGACCTTATAAACCTTATCCTATCATTAGGGAGATTTTTGAAGATGCATCTCCAAATAAACCCTATTTTTTACCAAAAAAATGGCGATTACGAATATGCACATTCGTAAACTACCTTGTGTTTTTTTTAGTTTAGTGTAAAATGTATCCGGATATGCATATCTGAAATCACCCTGAACCAAAAGCACATTTTATTTAATTTGGTGCCTACCGTGAGTTTGAGCTGACTTCTCACATTTTTTGTTTTGTGGTATCGACAAAGTAATGCATAGTATATAGGAAACACCTTTGCAACTGAATTTATCATTGCATTCTCTCGATTGGTGACGATTACATTCGGCATATTTTCTTGGTTCTTCAACAAAGTGTTGCACATTTCCAAGGTCCATGTAACGTTGACCTCTTTTTCGGATTTCAAAAGTGCAACGCCCACTGAAAAAGTCTTCTCCGTAGAAGTAACACCAACAATTTCCAAAAGTGGAAGTTTATACATGTTGGTCTTACACGTTGAATCAATTATGAGGATAGTGGGAAATATGTTGAATAACTTGATACTTTCAGGATGAGTCCAAAATATGTCACGAATAGTGACTTTATCTTCACAAACTTTGTACCTAAAAACATAATGGTTATCATCCAAAAGCTTCAAAAGTTATTGCATTCCGTATGTAGGATCTCTTATCGCCATGTTGTTTCGATAATGCGTATTGTGTGCCTGCTTGATATTTGAAACACTTTTAGATCTTTTCCATTTCAAATTTGTAAGTATGCTTTGCAGCGCCACCCTGATTAAAGACATGTCTGAAACAATTTTCTTCTCCAATTTAAGGCAACATACAATGGGATGATCGGCTAGCTCTGTTTTCAAAGCCTGATTATGTATACCATAAATCGCATTAAATATCCATGTATTGTTCACCTTGTAGTGTCCATGCAATTTAAATGGACAGTCACATTTTCTCGATCCAGTGTCATCACGTTTGAACTTCCCAATTAGTGGAACATCCGTACCACTTCTCTCGCATCTCATGGTTGCAAATGCTTTCCTTCTATTTGAACCATTGTCACTTCCGATTATAATGTCAAACCCCAATTTCCTTGCCTCTATGTGGACTCATTCAAGCATATGTTGATGAGCAGTAAATAGTTGTTCATTTCTAAAATGTTAACTAACATCTATCTCGACAACAACTGGTTTAACATCATCATTCATTTCATTCGGTTTAACAACATCCTTCACTACATCCGTTTTTATATCATTACTTACAACAACTTTGGGAAACATATATGGGTGCACCATATCTATTTGTTAGCTCGTAAATTCGACGCCTAATTTTAAGTTAATGGAATAAATAAAAGAAAGATAATATTTGGAAAGTTATGGCAAAATTCTACAGGACAGATTATTTGTGGAAATCTAGTCGAAGTAATCTATATGCCAGAAGGAAGGATTGTTTGGACTTAGAGAAATTATCTAAGTTTAAAGGTGTAGTTCGACAGAAAGGCCACTAATGGTGTCTTCGATTTAAAATTCAAATTTGAACAAAAGAGGGAACTTTGTTCTTATCCAGTTCCAAGAGAAAACATGTGGAGCACATTAAGGAAGTAAAAACATGTCGAGTGCCACTTGTTGCGTTTTAGGAGAAAGGTCGTTAGAGACAGTTATTTTGATTCAATATAAATAAGAGGTCTTAGTGATAGGATTTCGTGTGTGATCAAGTTTGTACAAGTTACTCAAATTACTCAAAGTATCCAATGTGTAGAGAAAAGAGTTATTGAGAAATGTACGTTTGATGAAACATCATTCTCTTACAATTTAATCAAATTCAGTTTATACTTTTGTCCAGAAATTTATCTCCTTTATTGCACAAGTTTCTTTTGATGCATTTACAACACTTTTTTATTACTTTCTCGCAGCGTATTCCTCTTATCGAATTACATTATTTTTCAATCACGAATGCTACCGAAATGTTCACAAAATATGATGAAATTTTTGATTTGTTAGTTAAGGACAGCCAAATGATAGTGTCTCCTAGTGCTAAAATGCCTCCGTTAGAACAAAGAAAAAAGAGAGGTTTCTGCAAGTATCATAATTTCTTGGGACATAAAACATCTCAATGTTTTCTTTTCAGGGATCTCATTCAAAATACAATTAAAGACGGAAGGCTCAAATTTGGAGAGAAGTCGAAGGCTTAATGAAGATTGATTATGATCCTCTCCAGGTGGCTGATGCCCACTGCACGGAGCCATCTGTAATTAACATGGTAGAAATCACTGAGGATTTCACCAATGTAGCAGTCATGGTCAAGGTTACTGAGGACCTCGACAAAGAGATCGTTGAAAGCGTCCTCTGTGAAGTCACTGAAGGCTTCGCCACAGAAACCACTGAGGGTTTCGAGAAACAAACTGCTGATAGTTACGCACATGAAGCCACTGAAGGCTCCATCGAAGAAATCACTGAAGATTCCAATTCAATGATAACAACAAAAGAAACCACTAAGGGTTTCGTGAAAATAGATAATCTGATTGAGGCTACTAAGGGCCTTAGGGTGAAACTGGAAGAGCTGGACATCGTCGAAAAGGCCAGCATGGATGTGAACATGGTTGAAGTTTCTCAAAAAACTTTGACGGAGGTTGATGAGGACATTGATAGGAGGAATACAATAAGGTGTCTTTCCCAAAGCATGAAGAAAGCCTTATTGATTTCCTTTACATACGTCAGAGGAAGAAATCAGAAGTTATGATATGCCCTCGATGTAATGTTGTCTTTAACAAGAAGGCGGCTCAGAATATTGAAGGGGTTTGTATGGCGAAGAATAGAAGAAACTGGAAAGCCTCTCATGGCCGCCAGACGTTCGACAATAGAAGTGACCCTAGAAGACAGGAGCAGGCAAGGAAAAGGCTTAGTGGCAATAAGCCCACTACTTTCAAACCTACGTCGGAGGCTCCCAAAGACAAATGGATCAGACCCATCAAAAATCGAGGGCACGACCAACAAAAGTGGAAAAAATTTGAAATTCAGAGAGGCTCTTCTTTGACGTATCAAAAAGAATTCCAAGCGTCAAAGAGGGTGGCATATCTTTCAGAAAATTACAAAGGAAAAAATCTGATGTCAAGATCCCAATGGAGGAAGCTGCAGAGGCGGAGAAAGACCGAAAGGGAATCCATGAAGAAGGTGAAGTCTGAATCCAGTAGCAACATACCCGCGAAAAAATAGGAAAAGAAACCTGTCGGGAGAAAGTTATTTTCTCCTCAAAAAAAGGCATCTTTAAAAAAGACTGATCATGAAGATGACATAATGACAGATGATTTCAATTCTGGGTCAGAAGCTTCATTAGACATCATGTGCAATGTGGTATCAGTACTCCCTAGAGAGTACAACCAAGTGATAGAAGTAAAGGAACCAGAAGATGCAATGGAAATGGAGACGGCTCGACACAAGCCTGTTTATTACTACATCATGAATAATGGTTGCTTAGAGGAACAAAATGCCTTTTTTTGAAAGGCCTGATAAGCCAATAAAAACCATTTAAAACCTCTTTTTATCAAAGGGAAAGTAGGAAACGTTGGAATAAGCAAGATCCTGGTCAATGGTGGCGCTACAGTTAACTTAATGTCGCACCACATGCTGAAAAAGATTGAGAAGGACGACACAGATACAAAACCTTATAATATGGTTTTGTCGAATTATGAGGGAAAGATAGGAACTACCATGGGAGTTATACAGGTAGGCTTGACTGTTGGCACTATAACTAGGCCAACGATGTTTATGGTAATAGCCTCGAAGGCTAATTACAATCTACTGCTTATAAGGGAGTGGATTCAAGGCATCGATGTCGCTTCTTCCTCAATGCACCAAAAGATCACCATTTGGCGCAACGATGGTATTGTCGAGAACATCAAAGCATACCAAAGTTATTTTATGGTCGAAGTGAATCAAGTTGATAGAAGGAGCTTCGACTGGAATTTGGCCCACATTGGCCCATGTAATCCTACGGGATTCGACATGATGCTAACAGATAACGCTTTATGTTCTCTCTATTTGCACCCTACTCATGGG